CCAGGGAGTCGAATGGCGGACAGACGGACGGGTTAAATTTGCATGGACGCTTGTCTGCGTTTCCAATTTCACGCATGCACACATTCAGCAGCCCCGGGAACAGTTTGGGCAGTCGGCAAGGGAGGGAGGAAGGAGGAATGGCTGATAATAAACGGCATCGATCTCGGCATAAATCAAGGCCGCGAATCCCGGCGCGCATCTTCGCGAGCGAACGGAAAAAAAAAAGGGGGATCGGAGGATGGAGAGGGCGAGAGGAGTCGGTCCATCGACAACGGCCAAATTAATCCGGCAAGCTTAAACAAGCGGAAACCATCCCCGCAAACCTTACCCTCTTGTGGCGAGGAATTCCCACAACGGACCGCGTAGGATTCCTGTTGCATTTGCATGTGTTATTATTACTATCGTTTAATATACATGGCGTACCGGAATTATTTGATTCGGTGCAAATTTTGTCTTAACAAAGACAAAACACGAACAACTTCCGGTAACTACATAAATTTGATATAATTAAATTCAATAAAAAAATATATAAAATATGGAAATTTGATATAATAAGTTTTATTCCGATAAATTTTATAAACAATTAATTACGTCATTAATCAATTTCGATATTGCGGAAACGGACAAATAAATCCGAATTTGAATCAAAAGTCTCATTGAATTAAAATCATCGATTTATAAAACACCTTGCAAACTATAAATGTTTTATAAATCTGAAAACTATTTAAGAAATGAAATATTTGAAGAAATATACAAATCCGTTTTTTGTTTTATTTTAAAGATACATATCTATGTTTAAAGTGTATTGAATTTCTGGCATCTCAGATTTCGCAAATCGTTTGGGGATTTAACGAACACCATAAATATAGAATTGATAACGATTTGCAATTCGCGGTGTAACTAGAACGTACATGTGATTTTTTTGACATATCGATTGTTATAATCGGCTTAGTCGTTCAGTTGCTATGGTGAAACGTGCGGCGAGCTTTATACGAGTGTATGCATGCATTTGTACACGAAAGCTTCAACGATCTTCCAAACTTTTTACGTGAAACAGACTCGCAATATCTTTTAATACCTAACATTTTTCAAAATGTTCCACGTTATACATACGTTAAGTTAATTTAAAAATATTTATTAATTACATGTCTCGCAAAATAAAATGTAATTCTCTTAGTATTCATATCTTGAAATTAATACATTTTTTTCAATTATTATATTTAATATTTTAATTAACGCGTAACATTTAACCTTAGCTTAGATGTCGAAAAGATCTCTCGGTGATTCATATGATGTATGCGAGACGTGACTTTAAAAAGCGAAAATCTTCATTGGAAACACCAAATATACAAACGCAATGCGATCCGATAATTCACACGTGTAAACAGTATAAATGCGAAATATCATGACTAATTACAAGGATGATTATTCCTCTGTTTGCAATCGCGCGCGCGCGCGCGCGCGTATTTTACTCTCTCCATCTGCATTCTAGATTTTTTTTAGAGTCGAAGATTTTTTTTACTATTCTAGACTTTCAAAACAATATGAAAAAGTTTAGGATTACTTTTCAACATCTTTATTATTAAATATCGAATAACTTTCTCAGTTATTTTACGAGGGAAAACTGAACTCTATTCACTTTTTTTTATTTTTGAAAAATTTGAGAGTGAAATTTCGCTTGTGCCAAAAAAGACCCCCCCAAAAAAGATGAAGAATTAAATGTTCGGCATTCCCAACATATTTGGACATGCGATTTGTCCTCGATATAAAAGTTGTGGGAGGAACATGAAAATACACGGAAAGAACGGTTATGCTAAAGCATCTAAAAAAATATAGCTAAATATACATCTGAAAATAATTTTGTTGAACCATTAAAATAATTATGCAGGACGTTCAAACTGCACTGTTAAATTCATAAAGTTAAATTACAACTAATTTGAATTACTTATAATCATTTCTATAGGTCGCCACATTCAATATCGTTAATTTAACTAAAATAACGTCAAACTAATTTAACTCAAGAAAATGTATTAAATTTGACTCAAATTTAGATTATTATTTACTAAGTGCATACATTAATATGGACATTGTTTACTTTGAAACTAACCACTGAAATGGATTGATTTACATTTTGACACACATGGAAGTTAAAAATCTAATAAAATGTTATTTAACTCAAGAGATTGGGTTGCCATTGCCCCTTTGATATCTAACTAACATGGTGTGTTACTAGAAAACGTTTAGCGTCAAAACTCTTTTCAGCATCTCTCACCACGCTTGAGAATCCTATGTAATTATTTTAACAGACGAACAAAATTATTTTTGGATCTATATCTAAGTAAATGTTTAGATAGGTACTTTAACAAAATCGTTCTTTTCGTATATAATATGACCCTCGATTCCACACTTCTGATACGATTTCTCAAGAGAGACAGAGTCCCATTCGAAATTCTCACAATCCACTTACGTCGCGTAAAAAACATAAGGAATGCAAAAATGCAGAGACATTTCAGCTACGTGCGAACATTTGAACGGCCCGGCGACAAGTAAGACGGGAATTGTGCACGTGCCACGTGAAGGTGAAGGTTAAACGTTCGCGCGAACAACCGCGCCCGACGGAAGCCACGACTGTTGGGTTATACATTGTAATATAAGAGTATACAACGGTCTGGTGACAAAACGACATGTGATACATATGATAACATATAATTCGATACCTCTCGTGTATCAAACCCGCGCGTTACCGATTCTCGCGAAGTACAGTCTTTCCACAAAGCGGAACGTGCTTGTGATAATTGTTAGCGTTTTTCAATAGCAGAACTGGTATGCACTTAGTGCACATTAAAGCCATTATATATACTCTAATCTAAGTGTAAAAGTGAGATATCTTAATTAATAAAATGCCCAATATATATTTTAGCAAATAGCACAATAAAATGCATTGAGAATTTCACGGTTTAACTTGATTTTATATGTTTATTAAACACATATATCTTTATTACGTTAATTCGTGTACGGCTTTAAAGTGCATCCGAATGCGCACTAATTCTACGAATGAAAACGCTATCTGATTGTGAGATTCTAAGCAGAAGAAAAAGTCATTATGATAACATCAAAATGGTTGCGTTTAGTAGAAAAAGTAGCTTTACAACTGTTGTAAAATTTTTTGATATGATTTGTTTATACTATAATGTAAAAAGAAAAGTATCCCGTGGATGCGCAGTAAGAGAGTGAAGAGTTGGAGCCAAATTTGATTGGCTGTACAATATTGCTATTGCCATTATGTACAATATTACATTTTTCTTTTTACATCAGGATTTATATATTTATCAGATCCAATGAGAAACTAAGGGCAAGATCGAGTATATTAATCTTTAAGTAGATAAGTGGCAATTCCACGTATAGATCTGGAAAAAGAACAAGATTTTTAAGAAAATAAAAAATATAAAATAAGAAAATATAAAATATTGCTCAGAAGTCTTAAAGTTCATTATATATTTTTATATTCTTTTTTATATAAGGATATAAAAAATGTAAATTTAACTCTATTTGTATTAAAAATATAATATATCAAAAATATTACAAAAGTATAACTGTAAAGATCAAATTTATTTCGGATGTTCTGAGCACCCTCTTATCTACTGAAAGATTAAAGAATTTTACAGTTGCAAGTTGCAAAGCTGTCTTTTTTTTTTGCTGAATATAGTCATGATTTTAAAATGATTATTATAAAAGTAAGAGCACACGATAAAATGTTAGCCGATTGTTGTGTCGTTTTTAGAAAGTCCTTGGCAATTATATATTAATGTGACAGTGTATATAGATGACAACACAATTTTAATTGTTTTCTATAAACAATCAACCAACATTTTATCTTAATATTGTGTGCTTTTATCCTAAAAGTCATTTTTCGATCAGTCACGATTCATTTTTACATCATTTTGACATTATCGAGACATGTTGTTCTGCTTGAGACGATGAGAAACAAAATTACTCTAGATTGATAAAGTCAAATTCCCACTATTTTGACGCAAAGATGTAGCTTTTGTATAAACGTAGTTTGTAAGGGAAACTAAGGCTGAAAATGTAAATGAATTACTTTTTGTAATCAGTTTTTGTAATCAACTTATGGACGAAGAAATATGTTTAATTTATATACTGAAAATAATATAGTCAATTTTAATAAATATTTAGTTGAATACTGCCAACTAAATATTTATTAAATATAAAGATATATTTATTTGATACAAGAAATGTTAATTTGATTTAACAATATCATTTTCTTTACTGAACAAATATTTATTTACTGTAAGTAAATGTTTAGTTGGAAATATTGAACTAAATATTTATTAAAATTGACTATATTTTTTTTTCAGTGTACATATATTTTTTACTTTAATATCCTCATAGTAAAAAACTTCGTAGTGACGTCACAATAGACTCACAAGTAAATTGTAATGTCTATGAAGTTATCGAAAGGCCACAGCAAGCAGTAACATTATTGTCTTAATTCGTACGTGCCACAGCAGTGTCATAGTGAGAGAATTTTTATCACAGATTCATAATCATATCGTAGCGATATCACCTGACATTCACACTTGTGACTTTCGCTATGACTTTGCTACGATCACGATGTGATATTACATCTGTGAAAAGCAGACATTCGCACGTCACCATGATGTTTTTGTAATATTTTTTGCTATGAGAGACGGATTTATTATTGTCGTTGAGATTTAGTGCATAAAAGTGCAGAAGGTACTGTAAGTACAGTTCAGAAGATGGAAGTTCACGTTACATATAACGTAATCACCGAAAGAAAAAATAAATTTTATAAGAGCTAAATGTTTAGTTCGACAGAAAGTGTGTAGTAAATTTTGTACAGGTTAAGCTGCACCTAATGTGTAAATAAAATGCGTGCGTTATATGCACTATCCGCCATTTTGATGCAAAATGCTAAAAAAATTGAATATACCATTGAGATACTTTATTAATTTAGTGACTTCAGATGAGAAGGTGTGAGAAGAAGCGTATATGAAGACATTTGTATCCCCGTGTGTATTTGTCGCCGAATCGTTTTGAAATGTTCCGATATTCACCACTTAACCTTTATTTAACGTTATGTTAGATTACATTTCGACGCTGTATTGTATTATTATATTTCGCTGCCACTTGTAATATCTTTGTATTAACACGCAACTCGTACACGCAACGCATATACGCAACTTTTACGCACAAAAGAACGACGATGAAACATCTTTATGTAGCGACAACGCACGCAAGTAATTGAGGCGACGTAATAACTGAAGATTGACGCGATCGACTGCGGCGACAACTTCACGCGATTCGAATCTGCAACGGCGCGGCGCATTCGACAGCTCGACGCGATCGACGTTCCAAATTTTCTATCGCAATTAATTCTGCCTCAGAATTTCATTAATTAACTCGCCGGTCTGATTCATTTAACACTTCCAATATTAATAACCACACACATATCTCACCTTTATAATTCGTAAAAAAATCTTGTGAAAGTAATAAACTGCGACGAAAAGAGCCAGACGTTGCTTATTTCACCTCCGTGTATATTTACACTGCAGCGAATTACGCAATGCAAATTATTACTATCGACACAAAAGCGAAATTAATTCAAACCATTGGCATCACAATTGCCGCAGATATTTCAACCGTTGAATTGCCGAATTATTTCGAGCGTTGAATTACCGAATACTAATTTTAATTCAAACGATGCAAAAATTATTTATGCGATATGTTATTTGAAATGTACTCTGAAGAGCGAAAGTTTTTCTTGGAAAGAACTATCACTATATCTGTTACGTGATTCAACAATTTACACATGTAAATGAGAAATGTCGTATAATTATGACCACGCATAGGATGCGATCCGTTCCGCATGATGCGCATGACATATCATTTTATTCTTCCTTAATATTCGATAAACAACAAAGATAAAATGATACATCATGCGCATCATGCGTGAAACGGAACGCATTCATAATTACGCATTGGGCATTCTCGACAAGCTCGCACGTACAACAATTGATATTTCTACTTTTAAAATCCGCGCACACGATTACACTTAAAGCTATGGTACATAGAAAGTTATAAACGAATCGACCAATCACAGTCGAGAAAGTGAAACAATAATTCTCGTAAGCAGTAGCAAATTAAAAATATTGAACACATAAATGAGCAAAAAAGATCATATTCGGTCAAAGCGAATCTTAATATCTGATAATATCATCAAATTAATATTATAAAAATATTATAATACATTATAATAATATTTTTTTGTAAGAATTTTATAATTTTCAATTTAAGTAAACAAATTATTGACAGTGTTTAAAAGATGCTCATTAGCATTATATTATTAAATTACTTATCAATTTATGGTAATTTGTGATACTCCAACTTTAATTTAAAACTGTGTTTCAAAATCGACAAATAATCGATGCGCAATTTGCTTGAACTAAAAATTGTAAAATTTACGCAAAAGTATTATTAGTCATCAAAACCTGTTTTAACCGAATATGGTCTTCTTCGCTTATTTCTGTTAAACATTTTTTGATCGATTTTTATTTAACATTGTCAAAAATGTTGATTTGCTTGTTGCTTTATGTTTTTCAATGTGCCACTGATCTTACAATATATAAGAAATACGAAAACTGCAGAAATATCTCGATTACGTGTGAATGCTTAAACCGACACGACAGTAACTAAAGTTCGGATTATATGTATCTGTCTTGTGACTGCGCCAAGATTAGATAATGTTTTCCATATTACCGCGATACTCGTTATATATTATAAGGACATTTATAATGTCCACGATATGTAATACACATGTAGTAATACATGTATGTAATTTAATATTCTCTTGAAAATTAATTCGCACATATCATCCCGTTGATTTTTGCGGAATAAAATTCGCGAAGTGAGACGTGATAAAGACACGAAATTACCATCGAATCGCGTTTCGAAATATTCCATTATATTTACCGAGTATTACAAATGCATGTTGCAAAAAATTTTATATACTTTTACTTATTAATACAATCGCAGTCGCAAATATTAATTAGTGACGATATGTAACGTGTATGAACGTCAAAAGCTTCAGATTGCTAGTTGGCCGTTGAAATATTCTTACGTTAAAGGAACTTTATCATTATTAATGCAACCCGTCATCACGTGTTGCATTAACTGATTTCATTAATTATTATGTATACCAAGTATACGTCTACTAATACATTATCGAACTTCTAGAAGTAATGTGTCACATAAACTTTTTAAGTGCTCTGTCTACAGAATTTTGTACGAATTAAATTGCTTTTTACCGAAAAATTGTTTGCATTGTTAGTCAGCACATATTCTAAGTAGATGAATTGCATCAATATTAGTAACGCATGGAATCATTTATATTCTTGATTTAGCAACATCACTTCCTTACTTCTAAAGTTTGAAAAAGTCATTTTTGTTTCACAAAACCTTAAAAAAATCTATCTTTTTTGAATTGTAACGATTTTAACGATTTTTTTAAACTATGCTTTTTTAGTTATAATGATTTTTTATGAAATTTATTGTAGTTCACTTCTAATAACAATGTTCAACATCCAAATTCTCTCTGCCATACCCCGAAGATTTTTTTGCACTGAACACAATGCCGTTGACAGAATTTGTTTAGCACATCAGAATTTTTAGTAAATTGAGGTGAAATAGGTCAAAAATGACGTTTTCAACTTTTTTTACAGCAAAGCAGAAACCTATATCTAAATAAAGTCGACATCGAAACATACAATTTAAGGGAGGGGTATAGTTAATTCGCGGTCAAAAGAAGGCATGTTTTTATGAATTTTTTTAGGAGCTCTGGTTAATGCCAGTGTATTGAAATAAAATTATAATAATAAAGCTACATCTCAAGATTATTCAGTAAAAATTTGGACGCAAAAAATTAAAAACTGTGCAAATGGCACGCGATCGACGGAGGCGCCTCGAAAAAAAGACAAAGTCCTGCGGTGCGCAACATTTCTCGGAACTGAATCATCTGAAATCAAAAAACCAAAATTTTTTAGTTAGTTTATGAGTTTCTTGAGGTAACGCTGTCGAGTTTTTTTTTTTAGTGATTATTTTTTATTTAACAATGATAAATAAATCGGAATTTTGAGTAAAAATCGTACTTTTTTTTTCAAGATGTTACCAAAAATTCAAAAATCGATTAAAAAAAAAAATCTCGACAGCGTTACCTCAAGAAACTCATAAACTAACTAAAAAGTTTTGGTATTTAACGCATCAAATTTCTGGAATTAATTGTCTCCATCAATTAAGCTCATGGCACACAGAAAAATGAAAGGTAGTATGACATAAGCCGTAAGTGAAAATGAATCAACCAATCATATTAGAAAACATAAGGCACAGTAGATAACGTAAGCAGTAATACGAGATGTTGATTTATTTATTAGTACTTACATCTTATTGCTCAAGTTTTTTTTTATGTATCAGCCTTTATATTTTCACGACGTTAAAACGTAAGAGTTTTGATCACTCCATCCGCACAATGCAATTCGTTCCAACGTGAAATAGTAAGCTAAATCTAAGTTGAAATAGTAAGCTAAATCTAAGTCCAGCTTTCTGTCGAAGTTTATTATCTAGCAGTTCGTGCAATTTTTACAGATTAAATGTGATTTGCGACTATTAATATCTGGCGCACCAAATCCAATATTGGACGAGCGTTATTGTATCGAGTAAATTAGCACAATTTCGATGCAAGATGCATTAATATCATCGATTGCGCTCGTTGAAAATTCAAACCGCGTAAAGTTGCTACCATCGCAAGACTGCGTTTGAAAACTTCACCCGAGTGTACGAGTCTGTCATTTTATCCTTGTTTTACGTCTAATGAACGATAAAGCTAGAATGACGTACCAAGGCACTCGGATGAAGTTTCCGAACACAGTCCTATCATCGTCACCATCGTTGTCACTGCTGTTCAGTTCTCGACCCTCGCGTCGTCGTTTCATAAAGACATTTTGTTCTTTTTCGCAAAAATGAATGGCGTGCGTATATATCAATATTACGAATTACTAAATATCGAAACGAGTTGAATCACGCACACAAATGTAACATCAGCATTAAATATCGATAGTAAATATTAACATACATACATGGAAAGAACGATTTTGTGAAGTATCTAAAAGTTTAGCTAAATACAGAATTGAAAATAATTTTATTGGACCATCAGAATAATTATGTACGAATCTCAAGCATGATAAACAGTTGCAAAAAGTTTTGACACTCTATAGCAACAAGTTTGAATGTTCTACATAATTATTTTGATGGCCAACAAAATTATTTTTAGATCTGGTTAAATTTTTAGATACTTCAGCAAAATTGTTCTTTCCGTGTACATATCCTAGAACAATAGAGCAAATATTTCTCGATGTTATCATCCCCTCTTTATAGATTTTACCTCGCAAGAAATATTGTATTGATATCGGGAAAGCATCGAATTACAAGTATGCATTGTAAAATCATAATTAGTAGCAGTGTATCTTGTAGTTTGTAATATAATATACTTGTCTGATGGGTAAACGTTAACTTTAATCTTCACGCAATTATAAATATACAGATACATGAGAAAAAAATGCTGTTGATTCAATTAAAGT